CCCTGAACCGACGCAGATACATGCCCCGCCAAAACCTCGACTCCAGGCCAGCAAGCATGAGCACGTGCAATATGCTACACAAGCCCCGCACCCGTGCAACTATGCTACCCCCCTCCCGCCTCCACATATAGGAAACGTTTGTTGCGAAACTCTGTTGCGCCCAAGCCAGACCACGTCCATCCCTTGTTCTTGTTCTTCATCGCATCCCATCCAATCTCCAAGTCGTCTATGGCCCTTAGTTTCTCCAATACTGTGGTAACGGTGTTGGCCTTGTTCGTTTCGTTCCCGAGCTCCTTAAGGAACGCCACCAACTTCTTCTGCATATTTCGTTTGCACAGCTTGCAGTGAGCCCACCCCCGTTGCATGCTCCCCCCCTTGCAATACAACAGCATCGCGGCCAACTGCTCTGTCACCCCGCCCCAAACCTTTCTCACAGATAGGCGTGTCACATGTGCTCAGCTGACAATGTGTCGGGGCGATCGAAGCACCCATCCAGCTACACCTAGCCAATCTACTCAAGCACTGGTAAGCAAACACACAGCAAGCAAGCAACAACGCCGCACAAGGCTCCCCTATCCCCCCCCTGCCGTTGGACATTACGGTTTGTCTTCCCCGTGTCAGCCAGCCAAGCCCTCTTCATGCCCTCGGCCAAGGTAGCCCCATGTATTGCCCACCAGAATCCCTCCCCTAAGGCCGCTGACGCCGCTGACGCACTGCGCAGATGCTAGATGGCATACCCCAGTACACGCAGACGACCTCATACCCTCTCGTCACATGCCAAAGCCAATTAGCTACCCCATGCCCTCGATGCAGATCCCCGCACATGCTCGACACCAAACATCTGGCAATGCAAAAGGCTTTCTGACTGAAGCGCTACACGCGCGCGAGATCGGCCCAGCGTATCATGCAGGCACGACGCGCACACCCCCCACAGACACGACGCACATGGGCTCTACTGCGTTGCGACATATCTCCCCCGGCTCCCCCCATGCCCACCTCTTTGGATTCGTCTTCAAGTTGAATCAACTGCGCTCCTCCTTTGTTTTCCCAGATCAATCCAAACGTCTCCACGCTGGCCTGTCTGTCACGAATACTGGCTTCATCACCTCGATCATTCCAAGGATGCCTCTCCTGCCCCGCCGCGTTTACCCGAGCAGGTGGAGGTGGTTGGATGAAGGCACGGGGGGGGTAGACCTGGTCGGAGCAACGGTGACTGGACACTGCTGGCACTCCTGAGCCCATGCGATGTGATGTCTAGCACCTCGACCCCAGAATGTTCCCAGTAGGAGCGCTACGATCCCCCCATCTGCCCTGGCCCCCGAATCCGCCCATCTGCCCACGACTCTCGCACCGCCGCGACAACGCTGCGAAAGACACAAGACGGGCGGATAACGCTCTGGGACGATGCGCACACCCTTGACCCACGCATCCGACTCGACACGATGGATTGCGGCGAACAGCCCAGGCCGCCTGTTTCACTCGCGCTGCCCCCTCCCCATCCCCACGATTGAAAACTGGCCCTTGACGGTGAGAGCCACCGTCGTGTCGGTGGAGATGACGTAGTCGTGGTCGATCTTATCCATGTACTCGATATTGCTGAGGCCTTCGCCGTACATTTCCTGCCAGCGCGAGGGGGCGCAGTTGGGGATACAACGCAGTTGCTCGAAGAAAGCTGCGCCTAGAAGCATGAAGAGCACGGCGACGCCGACGCGCCCCTAACAAGCCTCGTCCGCGAGGGTGGAAAGATGTGGCTCCACACACTTACTCACGCACTTAACAACTTGTGTTGCGGCATAACTACTCTCGCCCATCGCGCGCACCTCCCAACACGCAATAGCACTACCTCAGTCTGAAAACAAAACCCTAATATTAAAAACAAAAAACACAAATAAACAACAAACAAAGTGCCATTCGGGCGGCCACGATTCCGCCATGCAGCGCCATGCCCACCCAAACCTAAATTATGCATGTTTTCTGCCCCCGCACCGCAAACCGCAAAACGCAAACTCGGGACCCCTAGGAGGCACTTAGCGAAAATTCTGTTTTTATGTGTTTTACTTATTTATTAAAAATACAACCGATCAAACTGATTTTTTTGCAACTGAAGCTGCGAAAGAATACCAAATCCGGCCCCCCCTTCACCGAACAGCGAAGGCCTCTCTCATCCAAGAGGAGCCCTTCACCAAACGGTGAAGGGGGCCCTGGCCCCTTCACCAGATGGTGAAGATATGCTAACTTTGCGAGCCCCCCCTTCACTGATCAGCGAAGGGGCCGAGCGCTTGCGCCAACGACCGTCGACTGCAAAGCAACCCCCCTTCACCATTCGCTGAAGGACCCTGGCGCCTGCATCGACGATCGACGATGATCTCGCGAACCCCCTGCACCGAGTGCCGAAGGGCAGAGGCATGCCCCTTCACCATGTGCCGTAGGGGGCACGCCCTTCCCAGAGCGATAGCCGAGGGGAACGACCTCCGCCTTCACCGATCGCTGAAGGGATGGGCGAGCGCGCCCTTCACCAATCCGTGAAGCGCGCGCTGCACCTACGCTGCCCGGTGCGAGGCTCTTCGGCGAGCGCTGGAGGACTCGCGACACCATCGGCGCAGCTGCCCCGCCCCTTCACCACTCAGCGAAGGGCCCTCCTTGCCCAAGCGTGCGCATGACATCCCCCAAGCACGGCAGACGCGCGCAGCGCTACGAGCCCACCCATCGGCGATAAGCGAAGGGCACCCCTAGGAGCCAACGCCGCGGAGTCGGGCGGGCACGCCAGCCCCCATCGCGCGCAACGCCACTCGCGCGGCTCACGCGCGCGCAACACCACCTGCACGAGCCCATGATGCATGCCCGCGCGTCGCACCTGGAACTGGCACACAAAAGACGCGCGAGACCGCTGGGCAAGCAAGAATCACAAATGCACACATGGGACTGCGACGCGCACGTTCACCCCCCCCCCGCCCCTCGACGCGCATGAGTGCAGGGCGCGCGTGCGGCACGCGTGCAATTGCATGAACGGCACTGCCACTCGAATACATGCGCGTCGCGCCGTGCTGACCGGGCACGAAAGCGCGCGCGCCACCGACGCGCGATGTCAACGATCAATGTGGGAGTGAGCTCGAGCGCGCGAACGCGTGGAAAGGGGTCAGAGCCAGAGCAAACGCGCGCTCGCCAGAACGAAAGGGCCGAACAAGTGCAAGAGCGTTCCTCGACCGATCTGTCATCGTGGTTGAAGCAGGCCACCTGCGCCATGAAGGCCTCCTGGGAGAGGAAGATACACCGCGCTCCTGCAAGAGTCGCGCGGGAAAGGGGCGCTGAAAGAAAGGGCAAGAAGAGGCGATGAGGTGAAGCGAAACGCACTCGGGAGCATCGAGTCAGGCGATCCCTATGAACGTTGCTGGGGCGCAACATGTCATCGCAATGAAAGCGTGCTTGCGCGCCTGATTACCATGACAGACGCACTCGAGCATCCCATGGGTCTTGCAAGGCCGATCTTCCAAGACACGCCAATAGGCAAAGAGCACATTGCACGCTGATTACCCGCGAGGAGCGAAGCGATCCCGAACGGGGGCAAGGGGAGACGGTCGAGCTGGCCAGGGACGCGAGGGCAAAGGGGAGACCGAGGAGGGCGAAGGGGAATGCAGAGGAGGGCGAAGGGGAATGCAGAGCACAGGCGAGCGCGGAGGGCAGAGGGAAGGGCGCGAGAACACGATACAAAGACTGGAGCAACCTGCCCAGGAGACGTCAAGCTGAATCGGACACTGGCACACGTTAGAGGGTAGAACTACGCGCGCCGAAACGGATGGGACAAGGTAAAGGGACTCTCGGGCGAAATAACCAAGGGGCGGCGGCAGCGAGGGCACCGGGAACAAACAGGGGATGGGGAAGAAGATGCGCGATGAGCTCATCCTACGAAGTGGCCGAAAGGAGGGGGGAGATGAATCGCGCAGAGAGGGCGGCCATAAGTAAAGCGTGCTGAAGACGGGGGAGCTGTGACGTGACGAACGAGGCGATGGGGGTAGGAGATGGGCGACGTCACCATGAAGAGACGAACGGGGTTGCTGGTAACTTAATACATCGATGCTTTCGCCCCCCCCCCCCCACCGACGAACGAGGCGATGGGGATAGGGGATGGGCGACGTCACCATGAAGAGACGAACGGGGTTGCCTGTAACTTAATACATCGATGCTTTCGCCCCCCCCACCACCACCACCACCGCCACCACGCAGCCCCCCCCCCCCACCGCGCCCCCCCCCCCCCCACACACACACACACACACACACACACAACGCCCCCCCCCCCCCCCCCTCCCCCCCCCACCCCCACCCCCACCCGCAGCCACCCCCCCCCCACCACTACGCAGTCCACGCCACGAGCTGGCGTCATCGCAATTCCCTAGTGTTCTGGCCTGACATGTGCGGTACACCATCTCCCATCCTCATGGAACATCCGCGTGCCCTCCTCCGTCGCACCTGACGCGCAGTCCTCATCCCCCTCTCCCTGTACCGAACGCATGCAAACGCACAAGCCTAGATGACCGCCCGCCCGCCCTGGCCCGCTACCACCCCTGGGACCCTCCCTCAGCCCCACTCAACAAATACAAAGAGAGCAGCGCTCATCGATGGTCCTCGCACTGGCACTGCGGGCCCTGCGCGACCGCCCGCCCGCCCATGTTAGCAACGCCGCGGCGACGTCGCCAGTACTTACCAAGGCTGATGCCGAGCGGGCCAGCACGGCACCATGCTGGGACAAATTCCACACGCATACATAAACCAAGTGGCGGTGAAGTCCACTCATGGAGACCGCGAGAAGAAGTAGACCACATTCGTCCACAGGGGGTGCATTAGCAAGGTCGGCCGCTCAAGGCAGGCCCGCGGCAGTGCTCAAAGAGAGCACACTGGGCAGACGAATGCGCCGAAGTCCGCGTCTGATCCCATGTATACGCAGGCGCAACGATTATGCCAGATGAGTAGGCAACGCTGGCATCTGTAGAACTGCAAATCCCCACCATCGGTTGGGTCGGCCAGGTCGATCCCTGCGTCCTCTGGCCCCACAATGTCACATTTCACGCATTGCCTGGGGTTGTTGTCCTTCAGGGCGAGTGGCCCCTGGAAGAAGCGCGTGTTCCTCTCCATCTGAAGGAGCAATAGCCAAGCGTCCACGGCGGGTCTCTCGTGCTTCCTCAGCGCGTACGGCTGGACCAAACCCGCGTTCCCGATGATGACCTCGACGTCCGCGTAATCGGTCTCAGGCTGCGCGAAGTGCACCATGGACATGATCCGCCCTTCCCCGTCGATTCGCACGGGCCTGGCCTTCTGCCTGGTCGGCTGCGTCCAGGGCACAAAGGAGCACGACCCGTCTGGCTTTGCAACCATGCCGATCGCACCGTAACTCATCGGCGCGCCCCTCCTCTCTTCGGCCCTTCGGTGCGCAGCCTCGAGCTCCGCCTTCGCTAGCGACTGCCTCACCAGAATCCCACCCTCATTTGCCACGCTGGCAAGAGGGGGCGTCGCTGGGGCGGCTGGCGGAGGCCCAGCGACGGGGCTGTCGCCCCGTCGCTGGGTGCCGTCAGGGTGCGGACCTCCATGGCCGTGGGGGCCGTGGCCGTCAGGGTGCTCATCGGGGCCGTCGTCCGAGTTGACGCCCACGTCGCCGCCGTCGTCTGCAACGGGGTCGAACTCCTCTGGCTCGGGGACAATGGCGCCCTCTTCATCCAAGTTCTCCTCCGCGGGATGGCCCGCCAAATCACCGCCGCCCCCCTCGCCTTCGCCCCCGCCGACGGGGCCCTCGTACTCGCCTTCATCATCTTCCATGACATCGCCCATTGCTGCGCCGACGAAATCCGAAGGCCATCGTCCTCGGGCTCTCCGCCCCTGCCGATCTTCGGCGGCTTCGGAACCACCTCTTGCTCCGTTTCATCGCTGAACGTGGCGCGGTCCAACGAGAGCCAGCCGAGGGTGCCCGAGCGCAGTGGCAGAAGGGGGCCGTGCGCCCAACTTGCCCTTGCCCTTGCCCGCCATCGCTATCTCGCCGACGACCTCCGTCAGCGAGATGATGCGGACGGGCCTGTCCAGATGGAATATGCAGTGGCCACCGCCCATCGGGCGCAGCTTGCCCGTGGCACATGAGACTTTCTGGTGGTAGCTCCAACACATCAAGAAGGCGTGACGTTCCTGGGCCGCATCGAGACCGAACGTGAACGCCTTCTCCATGTAGTTCGGCATCAACGGCCCCGCTGCGTGGGCGCACCTTGCCGCGGCCCCGACGGCGGCGTTGTAGCGCGGGAGCGCGGGCGGCGGAGGTGGAGCCGCGCCCGCGGGTTCCCTTGCAACCACCACGGGCTCAAAGCGGTCGTGGAACTCCTGATTGGAGAAATGGTTCATGATCGCGGGGTGGAGGTCCACGCATTCGTTGGCCCGAATAGGCGCCCCGAGCTTCAGGCGGAGGCGGTCAGAGGCTAAGGGAACGTGGAGATTCGGCGCCAGCTTGGCCATCCGCTGCAGCACCGAGTTCGCGCCTTCCAAGTCTTGCGTGCCATGCGGGAGCTTACTCCGCCAGACGAGCAAGAAGACGAACAGTTGGGCGCTGCATTGGCCCGATGCTTCCATGCCGCGCCAATCGTCCATGAACAATTCCCTGGCCTTCGCTGCGAAGTCGCCGTTGACGGTTACCAGGTCGCCCCTGTCCTTGCGCAACAACGTCCGCGCAATGGCCCTGCGGTCGCCCGAGTCTTCGTCGCAGGGTTTATCCAGGACACGGAGGGGCAGAAGTGGGAAGTCCTGTGTGCGCTTCAGAATCCTGGCCGCCCATCCCGCCAACGCCCGCAGACCCAGCGCGACGATGAGAAGTCGGGCGCGCGGTTCGGCGCCAGCAGGAAGTAGCCCCCACACAGGCGCCCACGCCCCGCCAGCGCCCTGGGCCTCGTCCGTAAAAAGGCCTTGCAGTTGGCGGCACACGCCCCCCCCCCCCCCCTCCATCTTCGGCCACCAGCTGTGACAGGGGAGTCTGTCCCAGGAACGCACTTGGTTCGGCTGATTTCACCTGCTTCTCGTACTCCCCCTTCTTCTTTTGCGAGGAGTACAAATACTCGGTGAGGGGCTGCTTCACGATGTAAGAGATGTGGACCATTGCCAGCCACAGCGAATCGCCTGTCATGGCCACGGCGGTCCCCCTCCAATCCCCCTGCTGCTTCCTGTGCTCAGCCTCCTCGTCGTCACCAACCTTTGCCCTTCTCTTCGCCTGCGCGTCGGCCTTGGCCGCGCCCTTCGCCTTGGGCTTCGCCTTGGCTTTGGCCCTCCCCGCGGGGCCAGCCTCATCCTTGCCGAAGGCCCGCTTGAACACTGCACCGATAAAGGTCTTGGCGGATATGATCAACCTCTCCACGGCGGCGACGCTTCCCCAGCGGCCGCGCAGGGGGCGCCCTGGCATCTGCTTGAAATACCTGTGCGCCACATCGAGGCCACCCCCAGGAACGTCGATGGCGGCCTGGAAGATCCGCGCCGGGGCCCCGCACGAGCGCCACACATTCGCCACCGTCGCCACTGTGCCCCAGTAGCGCTTGCCTTCCATCAGCGGCCCCCAGTCGAACCCCTCCGTGCGATCTAGCAGATCCTCCACGATGAGATGCAGTTGATGCAAGAAACAAAACACCGCGCAAAACATTACGCGGGCGGAGGAGCCCCGCAGGTCCTCCTTGATCTGCTTCAAGGCCCACTGGTTGCCTGGTCCAGCGTCGACGCCGAACACGTAGACGGACGCGAAGAACTTCTGGTCGTCGGACGCCGACGCCCTGCTCTTCCACGTGGGGCAGTAGACGGATTGCAAGTGGGTCAGCATGAAGGCGTGAACCTCGGGGCCATTGTCTTTGGTGACAGCGAGCAAGTCTCCTGAAACCGACTGGCTCTCCACGTGCCCGGCGACGGACGCTGGGGCAACGCCCCCAGGGCAGGCCGCCGCTTCGGAGACGTCGCAGAGGGAGCTGTGGACCATGGAGACGTGGACCTTCTTTTCCTGGATGAGCTCAGAGTTTGTCCCGTCGCATTTCAGCAAGTGGATCTCCAGCTGCTGGCTCAGGTCGACCCCTTCTGGCTCGGAGTAGAAGACCTTGGATCGTATGACCTTGCCAGCAGCTGCGCGGTGTTCATAGCTCACCACTGCGTTCTTGTCCTTGACGCCCCCATTCGCCTTCACCCGTCACCATCAAGGCGGTTGCCGCAGCGGAAGCATGTCCAACGTTCCTTCTGACGGCGAGGCAGTATCCCCCGTAGGCCGTCACGTTGCGCACTGGGCGGAAAGTGGCTTGGGCCTTCAGGGCCACGATCTCCTGGTTGGCCTCGTAGAGGTCGACCTCCAGCCCCTCGGCGTTCTGCATGTAGAACACCCTGCTCCGCCTCACCTTCCTGAGTTCTTCCTTCAGCTGGGCAACCTCCTCGTCCCGTTGTTCCAATCGAACTGCCAGGGCGCCCCTGTCCATGCGGTCGAAGGGGACGAGTGATGAGGGCTCCGCCGCAGGCGGGCGTGCAGGGATTGCGACAACGCCCTCGTCGTCGGCTGGCGCGTCTTCAATGGCCCCGACCAGCCCCTGCGACGACGACGCGGCCCCAGTAGCAAGGGATGTTCTCACGTAGCGCCTCTTCTGCGTCGGCTGCCGCGAAGGCGGACCGACCATCTCATTGATCTCGTCCATGTCCTGCGCGGCGAGGCTGGACTTCGTGAAATGGTTCAGAACATCTGGGAACAAGTCCACCTCGAAAGCCCCGCCCTCCATCCTCAGGTCGTGCACGTCGGGCCGCGAGGCGGCGAGAGTCGCCGCGCGCTTCCGGACCGACTCTCTCATCCCTCTCCTGGACAAGGGGCCCGACGAGTCTGCGCGCCCGAGGATCTGCAGCACCAAAGCGGCTGCATCTCCGTACGCCACGACGCCCTTGTGGCACAGGCCGGACATCATCCTTCTGTCGATGAGGAAGTTGGCGATATCATTCTTGAGGCCATCAGACGCCATGAGGATAAAGACGCCCAGATCTCGGGGCGCGGTTTTACCGATCGTTTTCTCTGTAGCTCTACTACACGCGCACGTGCTCACTGCTAGCTTCATGCATGTATGCCATCACATGCTGGCTATGTGCCAAGTCTGCTCTCCTGCTTTTCTTCCCACTCACGACCTCTGCAGCGTTGCTTTCACGTGAATGCGTTCACTGCTGTGATGATGCAATGCTGCTCCGACGTGCTGCATATGCGGCGCGTCTGCACATATGACCTTCTACCCGTGCATTATGCACGCAACTGTTCTCTCGCCTGCTGTCATCATCTACGTGCGTCGGCCATGCGTGCTGGACCTGTGGCCCCGGGCCCTGCGGCTGTGAGAGGGATGATCGGGCAATACTACCAGTCTGATATACCCACCCCTGTGGGATGGCGCCTGCATAGGGCGCATGGCCGCAGGACACCCAACAGAGACGCGTGCGCCTTGAGGGTCACGCACAGAGAGGAGTCTGCAGGTGTTGCCCTCGGCCTGGCCTGGGACGTCTCCCACAGCGGCAGCCATGCACGGGCGCGTTCCCGTGCGCCAGGTGCTCTCGAGGCGAAGCCCTTCTTATACTATTACTACTTCGTTACCACCAGGGTCTACAAACGCACGCATGCACAATGGTTCGCCGACGCGCGCAGTCGGGTATATAGCACACATCACGCAGTGCATATAAGTAGTTACTGAGACACGCACACATAACCTATAACACAAGCATGTGTCTCACAAACACAGCTGGTCATATGTATAGCGATACCCCACTTTACATCACAATGGCACATACACTACACGCTCATATGACTCGTGGACACATACAACGCACAGTACCACGCGTGCCACACGATGCACATGGACGCGCGAGGCCCCCATCAAAGGCTTCGCCACCGAAGGGGTTCAGCGTAAAGTGCAGGCAGAGTCCCTCCTTCCTCCCTGCTCTACTCCCCTACCTTTTCCTACCCCTCCCCACACCCTCTCACCCGCTCCTCCCCTCTCCCTCATCTCCTACTCCCTCCCATTCCCCCACCTCTACATTCACCCTCCCACACCTCCCCCTCTCTTCATCACCGCCCCCTCCCTCTCCTACCACTTCCACCTTCCCCCTACGGTGAGAGGACCTTCCCCTATCGCTCTGGAATGCGAAACGGTGCTGGAGCTACGAGGACCTCCCCCCCTCACTCTGGAATGCGAAACCCCAATCCCCGCCCCCCGGCCAGAAGAGACTGGAAGATGGTCGAGGACGCCTCGACAGTGATCACGACGAAGAAGGCGCACGCGCTCGCCTGGCAGCGCCCACGCCCTCTTCTGCTGCTGACTGCACTGGGGCCCGCAAGGCCACGGCAGGTGCTGTCGCTGCTGCCGCCGTCTCCGTCATCGATGCAACAGTTTTCCCGCCCCCCTCCCCTTGATGTCCCCCGCCGCCCAATTCCCCTGATTTCGGCAATCCCCTTCGTCGCCCTCATTGTCCTGCTGCCCTCCCACCGTCGGTGACAAGTCGGGCACCGCGGCAGTCGGGCACCATGGCGAGGTGGTGCTGGGTAATGTGTGCGAGCGGTGCTGGAGGATGTTACTTGGTGGGTGGGTGTGTGTGAAGTAGTGAAGGGTGGTGCGTGAGTGCGCGTTTGGTTTGCTTGCGGATCATTGCTTGAAGTGGAATAGTATGGGCGGTGCTCGACTGCCGTGGCGCCCGACTGCCGTGGTGCCCGACTGCCGCGGCGCCCGACTGCCGCGGTGCCCTTCGAGCGTTCTAACGCCGTGGTGCACCAGTGCACGACTGCCACCCCGAGCCTCCGCCTCCGCGGGCGGCCCTTCCTCCCAGCGTCCTCCTTGTTCGTCCGTTCGTTCGAACCCCCCTCCTCCCTTCCTCCTTGAAATAGCTATAATGCATCACTTGTTCCTCCTCCCTTCCTTCCCCCCCCTTCCTCCTTGAAATAGCTAGACTACATCACAGCTCACACTTCGTGCTTTCACGGGCGCTCTCGAGCGCACGGGCTGATGCACCTGTCTGCGGTGCCAGCAAGGGGGCGCGGCTCTACGCCCACGTGAATAAAAGGCTCATACCGCTGTGAGTGGGGCCGAAAACCGACACCCGTTAGATGATTAGCTCAATGGAGGGGACCCAATCACGGTGGCATGACAGTTCAACTCCTGAGCAACTTAAACCGGCATGAGATCTACACAGACAGACGGCATACAGGAGTTTAACGAGCTACTTCCAGCACGTGGCAGCCGCGCGGCGAGGGCGAGGATGGCCCCAAGACCCCCAGGGCCCAAGGGCGAGAGGGCCGCGGGTCCTGTCCCAAGGGAGGGGCGCGGCTTGAGGGCCGCTGCTTGAGGGCCGCTGGTCGAGAGCCGCTGGTTGAGGGCCTCGGCTGCTAACGGAGAGACGCTGATTGAGGGCCGCGGGTCCCGCCCCAAGAAGCCAGCCCTGGAGCTACAGGCAACTGCAGGCGGGGCGAGTTGACGGATGCCACCTGGAGGTCAGTGCTAGGACGATGGCCCAGGGCAGCAATGAGAAGCACACCGCGTTTCAAGTCCACCTCCCACCCCCATCGCCCCAACGTCGTCGCCACCTCCCCCAGAAGACGGTCGTCGCCATCAGCGCCGTCGCTCGGCGACACGGGCAGCGCGAGAATGCAAAGGGAGGAGCGCTGCGGGGAGGAGGAGGAGGAGGAGGAGGAGGAGGAGGAGGAGGAGGAGGAGGAGGAGGAGAGGGGGTTAGGACGGCGGGAAGTGTTAGAATGCAAAGGCGGGTGACAATGAGACGAAGATGCAATCGAAGCGGGCGGCGGCGGCGCTCCTCCAGCCCGATGCGGCCAGGCAGGAACTTCCCGCCCAACGTTGCAGGCGGCCGAGCGCGCGCCCGGGCGCGGGCCCTTGGCACCCTATCCAACCTATCCAAAGCGGCTGCGCACTGAATGAGCCTACAAGGGCCCCTAAGTTCGCGCATCGCGCTGCGCGAAGCGCGAAGCGCAAATAACTTCGCGCCGCCCCCCACCCCAGGGGAGAAGAGGAGGGCGAGGAGGAGGGCGAGGAACGAGGACCGCGAAGCGCGAAGCGCGACTAACTTCGCGCCCTCGTGGGAGCCCTTGGCCTAGTTGTGGCATTCGCCACGGGCACGTGAAGGAGAGCGGCGCAAGATGAGAAGCCACATCAATAGCGAATCAGACCTGACCCTTGACAAGCTCAACAAGCGATTGCATCACGACCGTGTCCTGCGAGGAATGCATAATTTCCCGCCCCATTTCAAGCGCGCGCCCTCGATGCGACTTCGCCAGTCCGATAGCCCCTGGGCCCTGCCGCGCCAATATCACCAGCTTCCCCGAGCTACGACATCGCTCACTTCCATCCCTCATCTCCGCATCCCATCCCGCACACCCTCTGTTCCCTCTCAGTCGCCATTCGCCCATTTGCACCACTCCACCCCTGCCCTCCCACCCCCCCCGCCCCGCCCCCCCCCCGACTGTCCATGCACTTCCCCGCAACCCTCACAGCCCCGTTGGCGCCCTCACGCACCCACCTGCTGCAGGCTACTCCGGAACTGCAGCTGCAACTGCATGTCAGCGCGTCAGTCAGAATACATATGTACATATATATATATATATATATATATATATATCCGTCAACGCACAATCGAGGGGCAACGTCGCCGAGGCTGTAGCTGGCTGGGGCCCGATCGACCGCCCCTTCAAAACTGGGGTCCGACAAAATGACAAGGCTCTGATCTGATGCGAGGCGCGCCCGCCCCCACCACACCACCGCGCCCCTAACAGAAGGCTGAAATCCCAGGACAGCCTTCGGACCCCGGTGGCCGGCGGCGCTGCCCCCCAAAACGCAAGGGTCAGGCACTGCCCTGCGCTCGCCAGCAAGCTCTCTGCGACTCAGGGCATGTCTGCGCGCGTGCGTGCGCGTGTCTGTCCTCTGCCCGCGTGTGCGCGCGTGAGTCTGGGCGCGCGTGCGCGCGCGACGCCACCGCCCAGGGCGCCGAATCGCGCGCCCTGCACACGCCCGAGTGCGCAGCGCCCACCTCGCCGACTGGGCGGAAACTGCGGAGAGCGAGGCGAGGCGAGAGCTGCTGGAAGGGCCAAGGCATGGGCGAGGCGAGAGCTGCTCGAAGGGCCAAGCATGCCTGCACTTCCCTGGTAGCAGCAAGCATGCAGCACGCTCCACTCTAACGACCCCTTCCCCCTCCCCCTTCTCCATTCTCCATTATCCCCCCTCCTGGCTGCCATCCCACCCGCGCCCTCACAGGGCGCGCAATACACACAAGACATGACCTACTGGCGCACGAACGCGCAGCCAACGAAAGGATGCTGGCAGCAAGCGGGGGCCCAAACGCCGTGGGCGTACTTGGACCCGTCGGTCACCACGGTCAGCCCGCCGCGCAAGGGGTAGCACTCGTCCTCGATGCACCACCAGGCCAGCTCGCTCAGCGGCGTCTTCGCGTGCTGGTTGAAGGCGTACTGGCTCGGGCCCTTGTCGTTCATGTCCCGCCCGCCCACCCCCGCCCCCCCCCCTCCCTCCCCGCGCGCAATGTAGAATAGATAAAGAGAGATAGCGAGATATAGGGGGAGAGGGGGGGAGTGGGAGAGAGGGGGCGAGGGAGAGGGAAACAGAGGGGCAAAGAGAAATAGAGAGAGAGAGAGAGAGCGTGTGAAAGTGATACATATATACGTATATATACAGCCTGGCAGGCAGATAGGCAGACAGACAGACGGAGAGAATGCGAGAGGCACAGATGGAGAGCGAGAGAGATCCAGACGGAGAGAGGAGGCGCAAGAGAAAATGAGATAGCGATAGAGAGGGGGGCAGAGAAAGCGGGGGATGATGGGTGGCCCAGAGGAAGGGGACAGCGGCCAGGAAAATGCTGAGGAGAGCCCGCAATCCATTTCCGGTTCCCCTGCTGCCCGCTCCGCCTTCCCGCTGCTCTTCCCTGGCCCGCCCAGGTTGCGCCCCGCGCATCCTCCTCCTCCAAAGCGGCCAGTCCACGCCCCCCTCA